ATCATCTCGAACTCGAATATTTCGAGGTGTGTCTATAGAAAACGGTCGGACTGTGCTACAATGTAGTCCAGTACAGTTTCACTTGATTAACAGTGGTCGACATGATCGATGAGCCGACGGATAATTCTATTATTTGCTAGAGTGCTAATCAACAGGCCAAGAAGCATATGGTCCTCTTACTTTTGATGACACCTCAATCACATCGAATATGCATTATCAAGTATATCAAAATAAAAAGGTACCTGAACTTTTGCACTATCGTAGTGTGATGAGTCGCAAGTTTCAGCATTGCTTTCAGCGGCCTGGAGATGCGTGCGCTGCATTGATTCTTCAGCCACGTTCTTGCAGCCTCGGGATGGCTGACTCAGGCAAGTTCTTGAACGCAATTTGAGCCCAGTAAGAATGGCCGGAAGTTTGTGGTGCTGGTGTACTGACGGCCCACTTCGCCTTTTACTATCGCTCACACAAGGTCGCTAAGGCCGGGTCTGGATGCCACCCAAAAAAAAGTTCCATTACACCATATTCCATTTTATTGTCCAAAACCCAAAGTTCCAACTCCAGGAGAAAAATGCTAAAATAACCGAATATCACAATCATCTGGATACCCCTGAAATTCTGGAAGTCTCTTCTGATTTGCGTGCGCAAAACTCAAATCTCAATTTCGCATGCGTCGAGAACTTGTCTTGCTCCTTCTACGCCGCCGCGCTCTCAACCGTCGAAGACTCGCCCTCGTTGTATACCTGCGCTACCACTTTCTAGCGTACGTGAAGAAGTCGCCCAAGCGCGACTCGATTCTGACGGGCGATGCGTGGATGAGAGAGATGATGCACGGAAACCACGACGCATTTGTAGAGACATTTCGAATGTCCCGTGGAGCGTTTTGCAGACTCCATGATGAACTTGTGACACATGGGCGCCTCCGTGGAACCAACCATGTCGGCTCATAAGAGCAACTCGGCCTCTTTCTCCACTTTGCAGGCTACAATGCATCCAGTTCCAACCTGCAACAACGATTCCAGCACAGTGGAGAGACAATCTCAAGGCACCTACGAGGTGTTATGTCGTCCATTCTAAAGCTGACGCGCGACTTAATCACATTGCCCCGCGACGACGACCCACCATCTGAATTCATACAGTCAAACCCGAAGTTTGCCCCATTCTTCTCATATTGCCGAATGGCAATCGATGGGACCCATATCCCTGTATGGGTGAAACCCCAAGACGCCACTCCATTTCATGGTCGTAAGGGTGAGACGATGAATGTGCTTGCGGCGTGCAATTTCGAGCTCGAATTTACCTACGTTCTCTCCGGGTGGGAAGGTACCGCAAATGACGGTAAAGTGTGTTGTGATGCCCTGGGCAAAGGTTTGACGATGTCCGAAAACAAGCTCGACATTCTCGATGCCGGATTTGCATTGACGATGAAGTGTTTGACGCCATATCGAGGCACAAGGTATCATTTGAAAGAATACGGATCTGGTCGTCTCCGCCCTCAGAACAAGGAAGAGCTATTTAACCTTCGTCACGCTCAAGTTCGAAACTGCATTGAGCGCATCTTTGGCGTTCTGAAGATGCGATTTCCTGTTTTGTCGCACGGAGTCCGATACGACTATGAATTTCAAGTCTAACTCGTCGTTGCATTGTGTACCACAATTTTAATCGACGGCACGACACAGGTGAAGCGATTTTTTCTACAAGAGCAGCCATCTTGCAGCAAAATACACCTTTTTCCCGTGAAGATCGACCACAATTTGACGATGCACCAGAAAATGAGAAAGCCAAGTCATGGCGCGATGATATTGCAGCGCAAATACGGAGTCAATATCAAGAAACACTTGCAAGGCGCCGACAACGTAGACGACGAACTGCGTAGATTAGTTTCATAGACTAATCTCAACCTCAGCCTTACTACGTGCAACATCGATTTGGCGCTTCAACCATGCTTCTCTCGCTGGACCTGACATGCAACAAAACATGGATGCACGCGTGGGGTTTTCCATGACATCAAATGCTGTGACGAGCTCATCAATGTCCAATACATCACTGAACTCGCCCTGCAAAATACGAATTGCATTCTCAGTCGGCGATGGGCTTGAGCGAGGAGCATTTGGTTGTAGAGCCTTTGAAATTAAGTCCAGCTCCTTGTTTGTGGATTCATAAATTCCGGCAATGTCGATCGACATTTTGGACGCCAGAGATGACCGCTGGCGCTTTGTTGAACGCTCGTTTGACACAGGACTGCGACGCCAAGTACCAACAAATTCCTGTTCCTTTTCTTCATCGTCATTGTTGTCGTATTCATCTTCGTACTCCCGAATCGCAACGCTTTCGTCATCGGAGCCTCGGACGCTTTCGTACTGCATTTGACTTTGGGGACTTGACATGGCATTCGCCGAGGAAACAGCTAAGTTCCCCGTTGCCAATGAGCCTTGAAAGAGTGTCTCACAAAGATTGTAGTGGCAAAATGGTTTCCGACACCACAGGTGTCACGCTTTCGGCTTGCCTTCGAGAATGACGTCCCACGTCGTATATTGGCATACCACGCGACAGGTTGCGGCTTCCCAGCCCATACCACTCGAATTCACGAGCTTTGAAACGACGGAGAACATTGTCTTGATGGTGTCATGGCGTGACTTCAATTGTGTCATGCTCAACGTGAGGTCGTGCTTGGCGTTGAGCTTGGCCAAGACAGCGGACCAGGCCTCTTTCTTGAACCCGCTGCGTGCCTTCTTTCCAAGGATAACGACTTGGTAGACCATCTCCTCTAACCAGGTCTTGTCCATGTCGTCGCACCATATACCCATGCTGTCTAGCTTCGGGATGTTGCAGTGCTGCCCAGAGAACAAGACGAAGAGAGTGCATCATCACTACAACATTGGCAACGCCATAAAAAAATGGACCGATTCCGTCCATTTTTTTCTGGCATAAAATAGGCAAATTTCAAGTTTTTTTGCCAAAATAAAGTCCACATTTGTGGCATCCAGATGATTCCGATTCTCTGAAATGGCACTTTTTGGTTTTCTGGCGTTTTTTCTTTTTTTATTCCATAATTCGTGGCATCCAGACGAGCCCTAAGCTGAAAACCTGAGGTTTGTGGTGGTGTGAGTACCAAGTAGCCTTGCAGAAACGCCATTGCAACTACCTCAATTTCAACGTTGGCCTCAATGTACAGCAATGGATTGTTCAAGCTCAGACGTGTGCATTGTGCAGGTTGCAAAACGATAATTCATCAACTGTCAAGGGTTTTGGTTTCATCGGCTGTTTCACGCAAACCTTCGACGTTTTATATCGTTCGGTTACGGGAAGATGTAGTTTATAGGAGGACTTGAAGTTCCACAATTGAAAATGACTATCATTCTTACCTTTGTTCGAGGATATCTCGACGCCTACTAGGTTTAGGTGTATTCTATGGATAGATCCTTGTGTGTTATGGATAATACTATCCATAACACACAAGGATCTATCCGAAATTTCAGACGATCTTGTGTTGATTTGATCAAATTATGGCCTTTGGTTCCTCGATGATGTCGACCACTGTAAAGTATACTTCGTGACTTTCAAGCCCGTGCAAGCGCGGCCGGACTTTCCTCCAGAAGCACCTGCCCACTTAATCTCGCGGTTTTTGTCGCGGACGAGCCGAGTGCTCGAGGTCGGAAGCGGGACTGGAAAGGTTACGTCAATTCTCGGAAAGCACTTTGCCTCTCTGGTGGCTGTCGAGACATCGGAAAGCATGCGTGCTGAGTTCAAGGCACGACACCCGACGATTCCATGTGTGGACGGAACCGCCGAACACCTGTCGTTCGCTGCCAAGTCTCATGACGCAATCTACCTCGCTCAGACCTTTCACTGGTGCGCCAACACTGCCGCCCTCGAGGGCATGCCCCGCGTCCTCACTGCAAAGGGATTCCTTGTACTCATTTGGAAACTCGAGAACGACCGGACCGTGGGTGCGCAACCATCGCCAAATCTACGAGCGGTTCGATGGCGTTGCGCCGCAGTATCGCACGGGAAAATGGGAAGATGTGCAACGCGTATTTGAGTACCCGCTGCATCACGCTCGATATGAACGTTTGGTCCCGGTGGAAACCAAAGAACACATTTGGCTCCGCAGCTTGATTTTGTTTTCACAGTGGGTTTCCTCCATTTTCGGCGTATTTTCGGCGAATCAGTGCAACAGAGGACGAAAATTTCAAAAGTACGTGCAAAATTACTCCGCTGAGTTCACTCATACCTTGTGACTGGAATCATCTTTTTCACAAAAACCAATCACAATATGCATGAAAACCCAACGAAAACTGCTCGATGTTTCACTCTGTACAACTATTCCCTCTGCCCAAATATCTGCGCGAGTCTCATGTGGCGGACATTGCGTTTAATAAGATTGTGAATCCATACACAGTCTTAGATTAAACGGTGGGTGGCGCGAAAGAAAACTCGTGTCCCTGAGGTTGCTTGTTCAACTAATATCACCGACCTTTTCCGGCCGAAGACGCCGATAAGGTCAAGCTCTGCAAGCAGCAAATATACTCGCTGCTGGTACACAAGAAGTCAAGGTAAAATGCCGTACAATGCCCAAGTTTCACGGACGAATGGATGAGAGCATCAGACTCTATATTCATCAAGTTAACACCTTTTCAAGGCGAAGGATCTGAATCTCTAACGAGACCCCATAACACATGAGCGTTGTATCGCCCTAATCGTAGCCATCTTTCTTGGACTAGCTACCGCATGTGTCAAGACCGCTTGCGCACAACAAGAAGATCGCCCGAAACATTAATAGACCTAGAAGAACTTCGCGAAGAATTTGAACTAGAAGATTTACAAGACCGACTTCGCGACCAACTTTACGATTCGAAACTAGCCATTTGCGCAAACTTGATGGAATACATTGCAAAGTTCAGACGCATCTGTACCCAAGTCTGCAATACAGTATGACTGAACGTGACAAGGAGTCCTGGTTTCAGCGTGGACTGCGCGGTAGAATGCGAGAAGAAGTACAGTACCGCCGTTGCCCCAATGTGACCGCCGCCATCCAAGTCGCCCTTGAGTATGACCGCTTTAGCCTCAACAGCCGCCCAAAAGAGCATTCCTATCAAGACAGACGCTATAATCGCCCA